GACATTCTCAGTGTTGGCCACAATTATAATCGTCTCAATACAGACGCCACTGTTTTTGTCCGTATTTTTCCCTGTTGTGATAATTTACTATTTTGTCCAGGTATACATTCATTCAATTTATTGAATAATTTTCATAGTAGACATACACTTAACTTAACATTTAATATAATCATGTTATTGTTATCCCTTATTAAACAGAGATTTTATGTGATGACATCCCGACAGTTGAAAAGGTTTGCAAAGCAAAAGCTATAATCAAAATACATTTCTTTAATGAATGTCTAAATCTCAGACTCGAGTCGATCACGAGGTCTCCAATATTTACCCATTTCAGTGAAACAGTGAACGGCGTGTCGACGATCAGGGCGTACGGCGTGAACGACCGGTTCATTCGAGAGTCCGACAAACGGGTCGACAAGAATCAGATGTGTTTCTACCCGAACGCCATCTCCAACTGTTGGCTACAGGTGCGACTGGAGGTGTTGGCCAATTGTCTCATATTTTTTGCGGCACTGTTCGCCGTCCTGTCGAAAGACACCCTGAATGCCGGCGACACCGGACTGTCCATATCGTACGCCATGAACATAACGATGGCGCTGAATATGTGTGTTCGCATGTTTGCCGACTTTGAGAACAATGTGGTGGCCGTCGAGCGGATCGACGAGTATTGCGATATTCATTCAGAAGCCGATTGGTATTCAAATCAACAGTTGTCCGATAACTGGCCGGAAAGGGGTTGCGTCGAGTTCTCGGGTTACGGCACGAGATATAGGGAGGGCTTGGATTTGGTGCTCAAAGGCATTGATCTGAATGTGGGAAAGGGAGAGAAAGTGAGTTGTTTTTGGGGGAGTAATGGGTAATAAAGAAGTGATTTATTTAATAATTGTCTTCATTATGTGATTATTAGGTGGGAATCATCGGTCGGACGGGTGCGGGAAAGTCGTCGCTAACTCTGGCGTTGTTTAGACTCATAGAGTCAGCCTTTGGAAAGATATCCATTGATGGCATAGATATCAGTAAACTTGGTCTTCAGGTAAATCACACACTGTTTTGAAATATATTTCATTTAATAAATGTTTTCAATGAATAGGAGTTGAGGAGTCGGCTAACAATCATACCTCAAGACCCGGTGCTCTTCTCGGGAACCATTCGCACGAATTTGGATCCGTTTAACAAGTTTTCGGACAACGAGTTGTGGACAGCCCTAGAGGACGGACACCTCAGAGACTTTGT